ACAGATGATACAATAGTGTTTTCCAATACCATAGAAGGACTGCAAAACTCCATGAACAAAATAATGGAAACAAGTAGAACATATGAACTGGATATTAACACCAGCAAAACCAAGCTAATGATCATCCGCAAGAAAAAAATAACTAGAGCAAATCTGTGTGTGAATCAAATAAGAATTGAACGTGTCTCACAGTATAACTACTTGGGAACTATAGTCAATGAGTCGTGAGACAATATCCAAGAGATTAAATGTAGCATCGAAAAGACAAAAATTGCATTATTGACTATGTGAGCTCGATGTTCAAGAGCTATGACCTCACTCTAGAAATAAAAATAAGGCTCCTTAAATGTTAAGTGTATTCAGTGCTTCTGTACGCAGTAGACACGTGTACATTGAAGGCGGAAACTATATCAAAACTTTAGGCTTTTGAGATATGTTATACAGAAGGATCCTGAATATACCATGGATAGACAAAGTCTCCAATGAAGAAGTACTGTCAAGGATGAACACAACCGCGGATTTGGTTAATACGAGCCAGATATGAGCTACTCCATAGCATTTCGCAAGGTAAAATAGACCAAAAAACGCCCCAGGACGAAGAAGAATATCCTGGCTTGCTAACTCGAGAGCATGGTATAGAAAGACCTCAACACAACTATTCTGTATAGCAACCAACAAAGTCATCATAGCCAGAATAATCGCCAACTTTCAGAATGGACAGACACTCTGAGAAGAAGATCCCTAATATGGTAGCGAGCTAAATAGAATAACAAAATACAATGGAACCCTCAGAATAAAAGTACTAGAAGACGCGGGACTAACTGCATATACAGAGATTCTGGCACTGATAGTAAAAAAGCAGGACATTGACGGCCTGATGATGATGGAAAACACTGTATTGGAAACGATCAGGGAATAGCTAAGCAAATACGAACTCCAGCTGATGAACAAAAAAATGAAAAAGGTGCTATTAATTGGAAGAAAGATGACAAATAGACCAATAGGTTCATACTAGACGATATAGTGATCAATCCTCAAGAAAACCTTAATTATCACAGGGAGTATTAAGGGATCACAATAGACAGAAATCTAAGCTGAGGATGTTACACAGACAAAGCTATCTCTAAATTCAAACAGACAGTAGAGAAGACAAAAGTATAATGCTTGAAGGGTCCTGACTGTTCCTAATACTGTATGTATCGACTATATGGGGGAAAATCACTAAAAAGAATGAACATTTTAAAAAATTTATATAGTGTACAAAGAAAGAAATTAAAATAGTGCACTAAAAACAGTTTTGTTATTTTGAAAGTTATACCAATAAAGCTTCTGGTTTTGGAAAGACGAAATTTAAAAAAAAACTGATAGAGAAAAAATTAAAATAATCAGATGGTAAGAGCAATGGTAGAAGTATAAAGTGAGTAAGTGGACTCTTGTGAAACTCAATTTAACAAACTCCTGGTCTATTAAATCCGTTTGAATAATGGTATTCGAATTGCTATATATGTATATATATACTGTTTTAGACTCTGTTCTGTGGGTTGGTCTCTGAGTAGCTTGATGTCTAATTTTGGATTCATACTACGTTGAAATTTCTTTAGCCTGACCCTCATTTTACTAATCAGTGGGTTATGGTCTTACTTGATATCGGTTTTTGGGTATGTCTTGATTGATATAATGCTGTTACGAAATCTTTTGTTAATCACAGTGTAGTCTATTTGATTTCTGAATTTTTTTTAGCCGATAAAAATATTTTAGCCGAAAATTTTTTAGCCGGTAAAAATCCAACACTATCAGGATTTGACGTATGCATATCTGGACTACTGATGTCTTATTGAAGATTTTTTTACCACTCATAAAAAATAAGGGAAGTTACTCATCCCTTATTATGTCAAAGCGTAGATCTCTGAGTAAAGGCAAATGAGTATGTCTGGTCTCAGGTATCCAATACTTATAGGACTTTATCTGGACACTGATATAAGATCCAACACCAACATAATTATACTTCTTTTGATACTTCCTCTAATTTTATCGTTAATATAAAAGTATTTTCTTATTAATTTATAATACGAATTATTCATTTTTAAAATCAGTTTCTGTTCCGATTAAAATTAATTATTGATTGGAAGACTTTTTAAAAACTGGAAGACTCCAAACAACCTATTTTGAAAACAATTTTAAACATTGCAAGAAATATAATATTAGTTTTTAACACCTCTTAATATTCAGTCGTTACAAAATTAAAACATTTACACTTTATTGGGTATATTTAATAATTAAGATGTAATGAACGAATCTTTGACTGGAAAATGTTTACGTATTATTTTTAAGGTTTGGCAAAATTGAATAATTATTACCATGAAATTTTATAGGTATAAAAGTTTGTATTGTTATAAAAGAATACAAAGGTGTTTTCTACAATAAATCGTTGAGTAAATCCTGGACTAGGCGATGAAGTATTCGTTTAATCTTGTTAACTTTTCTGCTCTATTAAATCGCATAGTTTATATTGATAATTAGAAAACAAAAAACAATAGAATTAAATCAGTAATATCTAGACAAATAAATAAAGCATTTATTTTCAAAAACATTTTAAAAATGCTATAAAACTTTTTCTATTCCACTATCGTCACTCCAGTATGAGATAAAATATGCTTTCTGTGTTTTTATTAAAATCTATAACGACTGTAGCTTTAAAAATATTAAAAAGTAATTTATTTTAGTGAGCTATTATAATATAACTTTGATATTTAGCTGTGATGATTTACCTACTTGAACGAAAGATGCTGGTCTGATTCATAGCATATAAAAGCAGTTTTTTACATAAATCGCTCCAAAATATTACTACAAATGATAATTTCAGTATATGCGAGATTATTAAACAAAATATGAAAAAAATACAAATAATTCGATATTTTCCCTCCTTTTTCGCATATATTTCAAGCACTGTTGATTTTAGGTTAGATTAGGTTAGGTTAGGTTAGGTTAGGTAGTTTTTGATACATGCAAAAAACTGCGCTTATATGCTTCACACCCAAAAATTGTTATTTTAAACAGATACCGCCTAGACTACTCTGCAAAATCAAGACCTCCTTTAAAAACAGAAAATTAAAAAAGCATTGTTCAAGATTTTAACAAGATATACAACAAAGATATAATGAGATGAGTATCTACCAACATTGGGTATATTGTATACAATGCTTTCCTAAACAGAATAAATAAATCTTACGGCTAGCAATCTTGTAGCAGAGCTTGTATAGCAGAGCTTGTATTATAATAGTATATTACTTTATGAGGCGGAGAAGCATGACTTTTCTTGACGCGTCCGATATTACGCGCCGAACGAAGTGAGGCGCGTAAATAGAGGGCAAGTCAAGAAAAGTCGCTTCTTTGCCGAATAAAGTATACTATGTTTTAACAATCGTAAAATAGTTTCGAAACACAATTCAGATTTCTGCTTTTATCTGTGCTTTCTAAAAATTGCAAAGCAAAACAGACGTTGATAAAGGTGTTAAAAGAGACGTGGGGAATCTAAAATTTGCATTCCACGACACATCTTTTCAACTAAGCAGAAATCCTTAGCGAATTGGTTTCTAGTACTCGTACAGAGTAAATCCGAAAAAAGTGAAAAAGACAGCAAATATTTGATTTCACGCAAACAGCGCCTTTGTATCTGTTGATACGTATTTCGACCTAATAGGTCTCATCAGAACAGTTATTCAAAGGTGTTCTCAACGTGAAAGATCAATATTTTCTGTCTTTTAAGAAGCAACAATAACATGGCTTCGATACAGACGCACTAGCGACATCTAATTTAACAATCGTAAAATAGTTTACGATAAAAGCAGAAATCTGAATTGTGTTTCGAAACTATTTTACGATTGTTAAATTAGATGTCGCTAGTGCGTCCGTATCGAAGCCATGTTATTGTTGCTTCTTAAAAGACAGAAAATATTGATCTTTCACGTTGAGAACACCTTTGAATAACTGTTCTGATGAGACCTATTAGGTCGAAATACGTATCAACAGATACAAAGGCGCTGTTTGCGTGAAATCAAATATTTGCTGTCTTTTTCACTTTTATACTATGTTTTCTTCAAACGTACCAATTTTCAACCATAAATAGTACAATTCATACGCTATTTTTACTCGAAATTAACTGTGACAACTATCAAAGTCGTCTAGATGTTAGAAATTAAAATAATTAAGTCGTCGGTGGGATTTGCGTCTCACTGGTTACAGTTCTTTGACAGTTGTTTGCAATTATTAAAGACAGCTTATTGTTGTTGCAACCGCAAGCGCAAATTTAGTGCGAAAATGGAGGAGGCTGGAAATCAAGCACGGTTGCCGAAGAATATATAGAGGATTCAATAAGAAATAAGAACGATAATGCTCAAAAAATTTTAAATCCTCATGATTCGCCAACATCGGGAATGATTGCTGAAAGTTGTTCTCGACCATAAGTATCATCAACAATTACCAATGCGTATCAAGAGTCGGGAACATTTTTGCACGGTGTCAAAACTAATTGTACTTTTAATATTACTATAAATAAAATGATGTTTAATTGTTGTTAATGACATTTGTATTGTTGCTTTGTGACATGTTTCATATTGTTGCCATAACAACATTTTTGACTCCGCCGTAAAGAAATGGGAAAAAAACTGCTGCCGGCGGAGACCTCAAACTTTGACAGGATCAAGTTAGATAAGTAATGTCATCATTATTTGACGTTTGAAGAAAACATAATTTTTTGATGATACAGGAACTTGCTTGTTCCTTGCTAACTTTAATAAGTTACTAAACTAGTTAACCATATTTTTTTATTTGTTTATAGTCATCAATAATTTTCAGTTGATGGATTGAATGTAGTTATATAATTTATCGTTATATTATTTGGGAAAACAACCTTGTATTCTTTTACGGTTCGTAGTCTTATAATTTTAGTAGAAAGATAAATTGCGAAGTGCTTATAAATAGAACAAGTTTCGTTGATTTGTCTAAGTACTAGGCGGAGAATTAGAACTAGATTCAGAGGTGACACTACCTGTCATTATCAATCTCGGAGGAGGAGGAGGTGGAAGTCGGGGATAATCTTCGCAAGGTGGAAGCACATTTATCATGTACGCCCCAGAAACGTTTCCAGGAGGCATGTAGTGAGCAACTACAACCAGTTTGCCTGATCTTCCGCGAGCTTTTCCAACACCACAGTACCGTGTTCCAATCCATACCATCTGTGTGAAATGACCTAAAACAGATTTTCCATAATAGAAAAATATTTAGAATAGAATAGAATAGAATAGAAATATGCTTTATTGTCACTGAAAATTGTACAATTTTATGAACAAAGCTTACAAAAAGTCACAAAAATAACAATAACAATTTAAAATTACTAAAGATCACAAAATAAAAGATAATAAAATACACAATCCATTACAAAATTTAACTAAATTGCAAATTGCATAATAAAACCTTACGAACTAGTTTACGAATAAGTTTAAGTTGCTACATGTGATACCCAAAAATATACAGAGTGGCCCAAAAGTCTGGAAACGGCCAATGATCTCGTAAATTGCTAGTTATAATTGTACAAAATTTAAGGTACACCTATTTTGGGATACGGAGACTCCTTAATATTTGCAATGTTGCCAGATTTGCTGTTTCTCTTATATTATTGATAACTTTGGTTTTTCAAATTCATCACTCTATATATTCAGTCATTATTGAAATCTCCTATTCAATACGAGTTCAACCATATGTAACACTTATGATTTTATGTAAATTGGAAGATCTTAAATACATAAAACATAAAGTCTTCTTCTTAGAGTGCCGTCTCCCTACGGAGGTTGGCAATCATAATGGCTATTCTTATTTTAGAACTTGCTGCTCTAAACAAATCAATCGATCTGCATTGGTACCAATCACGTAGATTCTTTAACAATGAGTTCTGCCTTCGGCCAACAGATCTTCTTCCTTGAATCTTTCCCTGTATTATCAGTCTCAAAATTTCATATTTTGGTCCCCTCATCACGTGGCCTAGGTATTCCAGTTTTCTGGTTTGTATAGTGGTGATTAGTTCTGTTTCTTTACCAACCCTCTCCAGTACTTCTTTATTTGTAATTCTATCAGTCCATGATATTTTCAATACTCTGCGGTATAACCAGAGTTCGAAGGCCTCGATTCTTTTTAAATTACATTTTTTTAATGTCCAAGTCTCAGCTCCATATAATAATATTGAAAATATGTAACAGCGAATGGTACGTAGTCTGATCTCTAAATTTAGATTTTTGCACGTTAGGAGTGGCTTCATTCGTATAAATGCTGATCTGGCAATCTCTATTCGTCTGTTTATTTCTACAGTATGATCATTGGTTTCATTGATCAAAGTTCCCAAATACTGATATTTTTCTACTTGTTCTATCACGTTACCATTTATTGTCAATAGGTGATGTATATTTTGTGGCCTTTTTGTAATCAGCATGTACTTCGTTTTTTTGGCGTTTATAGTAATTCCCATCTCAGCACTATTTATACTCAAGCTTTCGATAAGATGTTGTAGATCCTCTATACTCGTTGCTATGATCACAGTGTCGTCTGCATATCTTAAATTATTAATTAATTTTCCGTTAACGGTGACTCCCGCTTCGATATTATTGAGCGTGTTTTGGAAAATTTCTTCAGAATATAAGTTAAACAAAAGTGGTGATAACACACATCCCTGTCTAACTCCTCTACAGATCTTCATTTCTTCTGAGTGTTGCCCATCAATTTGAACTATGGCACTTTGGTTCCAATATAATGTTTGCACTATATTTATGAGTTTACTGTCAATGCGCTTGTTCATAAGTATTGATATTAGTTTTTCATGTCTTACTTTATCGAAAGCTTTTTCGTAGTCAACGAAGCACAAGTGTAGATCAACATTCACATCCCGACATCGCTGAATTAATATGTTGATGGCAAATAGTCCTTCTCGAGTACCCATTCCATTTCGGAACCCGAACTGGAACGAACCCGAACATAAAGTCTGGCAAGGCCTAATTGTCTTAATAAATTTTTTAATACTAACTATTTTTATCTACATGAAAATGTAACAATTGATAGATTACAACATTTTTTAATATAATGGTTACTTTATCAAGTGTTAAAAATGTGCTCCATGTGAGTTGACAGTACCATAATCGATGGTAGAATGCGTCTACCACATTTTTCTATGATTGTCTAGAAATTATTCGAGATTCATCGATTTTTCGTTGCCTTAGTTCTGCACTACTTGCTGGATTAGTTTTGTAAACTGAATTTTTCAAGTATCCCCAATAAAAATAATCTTTAGGATTGTAATCAGGTGAACGTGGAGACCATTTAATTCTACCTTGTCTACCGATCCATCGTCCTGGAAATATTTCTTCTAAATAACCCCGAGCATTTACCCCAAAATAAGCTGGAACTCCATCTTGCCCATATCTAATTAAAATTGGCACCAAACAAGTTTATCAGCTATCTGAAGGTAAATTTCCTTCGATAAAAAATGGCCCAATGGTCAATGGCCAAAATACAAAGATATTTTACAGAATTAACGATACTGATCTGGCTATTATTAAGAGGCAAGGGTTGAAGAGCTCCTTTATAGGATAATGCTACTGTCTTATACACGTTAAAAGAGAGTAAATTAGAGTTGGACCAGGTTTTTATTTTAAGTAGATCAGAAGTTATAATTGCATGAAGAGTTGCAATATTAGAGTTCCTCCAGGTAAGACTGGTATCATCAGCAAAAAGAAAAAGTTTTCCATCGATTTTTAAGTTAGTAATGTCATTTATAAAAATAACGAAAAGTAGAGGACTCAGTACTGAACCTTGTAGTACTCCACATACAATGCTTTTGTGACTAGAGTCAGTATCATTTGCTCTAACTAGTTGTTTCCTATTTCTTAAGTAAGATTGAAACCAATTTAAAGAATTACCTCGACATCTGTAGAAATTTAGTTTTTTATTAAAATGTCGTGATTTACACAATCAAAAGCTTTGGCATAGTTACAAAAAACAGTGGTAGTCTAAAGATTATTGTTTAGTGCTTGATAGATCTTAGGAAACATAGCATCGCTGTTACATTTATTAGAGAAAAAGCTGAACTGACTTAGTGATAAAATGTTGTTTTCAACGAGAAAGGACATTGGTCGCGCTTTTATAAGTCTTTCAATAATTTTGGATACGATAATAATTTATATTATATTTTTACTCACGTTAACGAAGTCTTCATTTAGATTTTCAGGATTTGGAAGCAAAAATATTTGAGCTGTGTTAGTTTTATTTTGAAGATCAATTAGGTAAATTATTAGATAGACAAGAAACTAGATAAATTATTATAACACTGAATAAAATTATAAAATGTTGGTACAACTTACCTGCATTGACGTTAACATGTATACTATCTGGCTCCCCTCCATAATCATATTGTCGTACTGCTGAGTACCAGTAAGTTGCCACTTCTTGTCCTAAAGAAAAGTAAAAGAATTAAAACTGGTATGCAACTTTCTGATGTGCTGTGACATATTCGTCTTTTGGAATACTTAAAATGTTGGAATTAGGCGTGAGCCACATTAAATTCAAAAATTATATTTAACCCTAGAATACTATCATCATCACTGGCTCGACAACCCTTTTTGGGTCTTGGCCTGTTCCAGGATTCTTCTCCATTCTGATCTGTTTCTTGCTTTTTTCCTCCAGTTTTTTTTATTTTTAAGGTTGTTATATTATTGTGTATTTGTTCTAAGTATCTCAGCTTCGGTCTTCTTCTTGTTCTTTTTCCTACTGGAATCTGTTTGAATATTTTGTTTGGTATTTCGCCTTCTTCCATTCTTTCTACATGTCCCATCCAACGCAGCCGTCCTATTGTAATGAATGTTATAATATCCGGATCCTGCTATATTTTGTATAGTTCAAAGTTGTATCTTCTTCGCCAAATTCCGTTTTCTTTTGTGCCCTTCATCGAGCAATAAGACAAAAGAGGGAATCTAATCCTTATGAAAAGGAGACCAAAAAAGTGGCCTCTGATGGCGGACATATCCGGAAATGCGAATGCGCGAAATTTAAATTTTCCAACACTTATCAACAGTAGCTTTATAATATTTTTCAGAATGTGTCTTAGACGAGAAAGTTTTAATTAATTATTAATGATAAGAGTCTAAAATGCGACACAATTGTTAAAAAACTTCAATATAAATAAGATTTCATGTGACATTTGGGACAAACAATAACATAACCCAACTAAATTTGATGTCAAACAAGGAGAGAGACTCTCTTTCCTTGTTTAATGTGGCCTCTAAAGATCGCACTTCCTGTCTAACAATATGTTTGCCCCCACTACCTTTACATTCCCTCTATTGTCTTTTTGCTCGATGGTGCCCTTATATATGTGTTGCAAGACTTTTCTTTCGAAGGTGGCTAACAATGTTTCCTTTCTTTTAGTGAGTGTCCAGGTTTCTGAGCCATATGTGAGTACCGGTCTTAATAATATAAGAATAGTTGAGCAAAACACCTACCATATTGGCAAAAAATGAGTGAATGACACAAGAAATTCTAGACCTGATGGAAGTTCGACGGCAACACAAAAATAGAAATATTATCGAATACCGTGAAATCAATAAACGCATAAAGCCAAAGAATCCTGGCTTGAGAATTTATGTAAAGAAATAGAAGACCTCCAAAAAAAGCTTGACAGTTTCAACTTCCACAAGGAACTTAACTATACTGCCGAAATTAGAAAACTGAAAAATGCTCACATACTTAAAAGCGCCGACGGAAAAATTTGTGATCACGAACAACAGTGCAAAGAATGGGAGAGATACATCACTGACCTTTTGACGATGCTTCTAGAGAAAATGCTTCAAATACTATCTGTGACAACCAGTTAGACAGAGGTCCCAGTATACTGAATTCAGAAGTCAAAAAGGCAATACACTTTCTTCAACAAAATTTACAACGAAGAAAAAATACCAGATGATTGTTTAGAGTCACTGTATATAACAATACCAAATAAAAGCAGGCCCACCAAATGCAGCGATTTTAGACTAATCAGTTTGATCAGTCACACACTGAAGATACTCTTACAAATTATACAAAACCGAGTATTCCTTCTATGCAAAAGTAGGATGGGTGATAAGCAATTTGGATTTAAAAACGGTCTAGGAAGTAGAGAGGCACTATTTTGTATGCGCGTTCTATTACAAAAAAGTTATGAATTCCGAAAGAATGTTTATGTTTGTTTCATCGACTTCAAGAAAGCGTTCTTCAGAGTACAACGCGATACACTTTTTGATTGCTTACCAGCAGCAGGACTTGACCACTATGATATAAGACTGCTGAAATACTTATATTACAATCAAGTAGCCTCTATCCAAATTGAAGACAGTCCGGCTAAAAAACTATTCTTCAAACGTGAAGTACGGCAGGGTTGTGTTTTGTCACCCACTCTTTTTAATCTGTACTCTGAAGAAATCTTTAGGAAGGCTTTGTATGACAGACAAGAAGGAGTAAGACTAGGTGGAGAAGTGATCAACAATATTAGATACGCTGACGATACAGCCATTCTTGCAGAAAATTTACAAGATCTCCAAACATTACTAAATCTAGTCAGTGAAGCAAGTTATCGGAGATGCCTTAAAATCAACATTTCAAAGACAAAGTGGATGGCAGTTGGAAAGATCAATATAGATCAAGGTCTGATTTCTCTTAATGGAGAAGAGATCGAAAGGGTAAATCATTTCTAATAAATAATTGTGACTCTGATGAAGAGATAATAACCAGGATCGAAATATCACGTAAGGCTTTTATGACCTGGAAACCAGTTTTATGCAACAGAAACCTGTCGATGAATATTCGTAAGAAGGTCCTGAAATGTTATGTGTGGTCCATCCTGTTGTATGGTTGTGACACATGGACGTTAAAAACCACAATGCTAAACAAGTTAGAAGCATTTGAATTGTGGTGCTATAGACGAATCCTAAAGACATCGTGGGTTTCGCACACTTTCAATGAAGATGTACTTCAAATGATCAATTCAGAACGTCTGCTCATAAACACCATAAATGGGAGAAAAACAGATTACTTTGGCCATATAATTAGAGGACTTCGCATTATAATACAAGGAAAAGTGGAAGGAAAGAGATACATTGGTCGAAAAAAACTTTCATGTAATAGCTACGTAATATTAGACAATGGTGTGGTTCCACAGTAGAAGAACTATTTCGCGCTGCAGCCGACAGAGAAAGGTTTCAAGAAATTGTAAACATGATGACGGCCAACGTCTGAATGCGGACACGGCACACAAAGAAGAAGAAGTTGAGCAATAACCGTTCAAACGGTTTGAGGGGAGGAACGGACTTTTAACTAGCACTGTATTTAGTCATCTAATATGTAGTTAAAGTATTCTTGGTTTTGTATTAAAAATAAATATTTAATAATGATTTTTATAATATTCATACAATTTACGTCGGTGTAGTAATAACGTATATTAAAACCACTATAGTATTCTAGGGTTAATAATGAGAAGGAAATAAGCAGTTGTTATCACTAATCTTGCTTGAGATTACTTCATTTTTGCCACTCCAAAAAAAATTTTATAACAGTTATTGATTACCAAATAAATAACTTGTCATTTACTGCCTATACTACATTCTTGGCAGGCATTGATGGATTACAAAAGCTTCTAGATAACGCTGATTAAGGCATTGCAAAAATCCGGCATAAAAAGTAAGCCGAAATAATGATTATCTTTAAAGACCAAAATTCATGAGCGGATGTAATGTATAAGGAAAGGTTAGAATGAATAAACGTTGGTAGATAAATGTTATTTTATATAAAAATGGGGAAAGTACATTATATAGGATATCGTTGTTAGAATTGGAAAATAAAATACGGCAAACAATTTAGTCGTTGCGTTGATATTTTATATTTTATATAAGCGATGGATTCGAGATTCGATCTATACACGATCGTTATAACAAAAAAATACTAAAAACTTTTGTTTTTATCACTTTTATAAATTGTATTACAATTTATTTTCATTAAATACATTAATCAATGTAACAAAAAAAAGTATAATCTATTTTTCTATTATTGAAATCTCTTTTGTGTTGTACTATACGTTTGTTAAAGGTTCTAGTAGTTTGTCCGATGTAAGTATTTGAGCAGTCAATACATGTAAGTTTTTATACACCACCGTGTAAGTGCTTCTTCTTTTCACCTTCAAAAGAAGACGGACCCTTAAGATATCCCCCACAATCTTTACTCTTGACTTCTTTCTTATTGAGTGCCCACTACAGAATCTCTCGAGGAACTCTACCATCTGCTTCATCAAGATCAACGACTACCATATAAGCGTTTGTTTCTTCATTCTTGTATTTTTTCCACCAACTGTCTCGCAAGATGAAAATTGCAACTGCTGTTGATCTGCCTTTCATAAAGCCACATTGATTATCGCAAAATTCGGTTTCTTTAAGTATACGTCTATCATCTATTCTCTTCCACATTTCATGATGTGACTAAGTAGTTTTATGGCCATGTAATTTGTACATTGTTGTAAAACTCCCTTGTTTTGCACGTGTGACGTCATTTGGCGACAAATATCACCAGAAATGTTCTGTTTTGCATGGAGTTTTGTCAGATTTAGTATTTTTTATCGTTTATCTATACGTTGACAAATAAATGTGTGCACTACAAAATTCGATTGCGAAGTGATTTTATCTTGGAAGTCATAGTATCATGGGTCAAGACTATGTTTCACAATTATATTTTTTTTATTTATAAAATTTCAAATAAATAAAAATATGTTGAAGTTTTTTTCAAAAACCGTTAAAAAAGTAATTTTTTTGATTTTGTTTATTTATTTATTTATTTATTTATTTATTTATTTTTTTCGTAAAGAAAGAATAATATTACCTGAAATTTCTTGAACAAGTCCATTAGAGGGCCGACAAAAAAGATTTTGGCCTATATCTTTATCGTTTCTGTAGTAGAATCTATTTGTATGAGCTAAGTGATTTGCCCACGTTTGAGCAAGATAGCAAAGCTGTAACAAAAAAAAAAAAAAAGATTTAAAAAATAGCTTAAATATTGTATATAAAATACGAGTATATACTACTGTAAGGTAAGGCAGTAATCTAGGTGGGGTCTCACAAGTGAACAGTACAAAATTTTTATGGATGAGATATTTAGAAAGTCTTTAGCACAACGTTTGATAAACTCTAAAAGTTGAAGTGATTTTGAGACAGTAGGATAATCTGGAATCGAGCACAACACCTAGGTCTTCTATCTGAGATTCTTCTTAACGTCCCCTATCAAGTCCCCTTGACGTTGGCGATTAACATGACGAAACTGTCTCTGTCTCGAGCTATTCTAGAGTTGCTCAGCTTTCCTTATTCCTGTCCACTCCCTGATATTCTTCAACCAAGAAGCCTGATTTCTAACAATTCCTCTGCGTCCTTCGATTTTACCTATCATAATAAGTTGAAGAATATTATATCGGTCTCCCCTTACTACGTGTCCAAAATAGGCCATCTTTCTACATTTCTACATCTTCATGCGCTTTCGAAGTTGAAGTTGCAAATTAGCATTACAGAAGAATGACCTCCTTTTTAAAAATGTCGTGCGGGCTATCTCGATTCTACATTTTATCTCTTGATCTGGATCTAGTTGTTCAGTAATATGACAACCAAGATAATTAAAAGTGGACACTCTTTGAATTATATGACCATCAACATATAATCGTGCATCTTGATGTGCTAAACGGCTAAACACCATGTGTTTTGTTTTTGAACAGTTTATGTTTAGGCCAAACTCTCGTCCCACTATATCAATGGCATTTAAAAGGCATTGTAGTCTATTCATGGCATCACTTAACATAACTGTATCGTCTGCGTATCTGATTATATTTATCAGAATTCCATTAGCTTTCACGCCCCATTCCAAATAATGCAGCGCTTCTTTAAATATTCTATCTGAATATAAATTAAATAACAGTGGGGATAGTATACAACCCTGTCTGACACCTCTTTGTATTTTACATATTTCTGTTGATTTTCCGTTTATGCAAGCTGTCGATGTTTGACGCCAGTATAACTTTTCTATGAATCGTATGTCTTGACTATCAACTCCTTTATCTTTTAATATTGTAATAATTTGTGATGCCGTACTCGATCAAAGGCCTTTTCATAGTCAATAAATACAGCAAAGACGTCTTTCCTTTGATCTCGACATTTCTGCAGTAATACATTTAGTGCAAAGAGGGCGTCCCGAGTTCCCAGTCCATTTCTGAAGCCAAATTGTGTTTCATCCTGGTCTTATTCACATTTATCTCTGATTCTACTGTGGATGATGCGTAGAAATATTTTCAAAGTGTGGCTTATAAGGTGTATCATTCTATAATCGCTACAGTTTTTCGGACGTTGTTTTTTTGGTAGTGTTATGAATTCGGACTTTAACCAATCTTCAGGGATATCACCAGTCGAATAAACATCATTGATAAGCCTGACCAGTATTCCAATGTTCTCTTTATTTATAAGCTTTAACATCTCTATCGGTATGAATCGGTTATAGTATGTGGAGTTTTCTTATGATAAAGACCAGCTAATTCTCCAACATTTTTAAACATATTAAACGTATCATGTTTTTCATTCAACTTTTCTACTTCCTTGCATTTATCCTCCATCCATTTTTCTTTAGCCACCTTTATTTTTTGTTTAATTAGATTCTGTTTTTCCTTATACTCTGTCTTGTTACCTTCCAGTTTCCTTCTCTATTCAATTAATTCCAGGATTTCATCAGTCATCCATTGTTTTTTTTTGTGCCTGTGTAACGTTGTTGAATATTTTTCTTCGACAGAAGTCTTCGACAATATTTGTTATTTTATATTTGCCCTTCTCTTCCTTATTATTGGCGTCTTTAATTTTGATGATATATTATTACATTGCTTCTATAAGGCTGTCTATTTCAATCGTGTCGAACGCTTTATGAAAATCTATGAAAGTGAGAACAAGAGGTTTGTTGCATTCTATAGATTTTTCAATGAGCGTCTTTACTGTATGCAGGTGATCATTGGTACCATAATTTGATCGGAATTCTATCTGTTCTCTCGGTTGGTAGAAATCTATTTTTTTTCTCCAATCTTGATGTCACTAACCTAAAAAAGAGCTTGTACCTATATGTGGTTCAACAGGCTAATAGGTCTTTAATTCTCTAGGTCTATTCTATCTCCTTTTTTACGTAAAAGAATGGTTATGGCATTGTTCCATTCTTTGGGCACCTCTCTTTGTTGCAAACATAGATTAAACAGTTTCCTTAATTGATTTAATAGCATATCTCCTCCATTTACGATAGCTTCTATTACAATTCCATCCACTGCTGGGCTTTGTTATTTTTCATTTTTTTTTTAACGCTTGTCGAATCTCACGCACATTTATTTCTGGCATTAGTTTGGAACCTTGATTCATGATCTTCTTTGAAATGGATGTTTGTATTCCTGCTTGATCTTCTCGTCTACTTCCATATAATTCCTTCGACGAACTGTATTAACTCGTCTCTACGTGATATTATTTCATTTTGCTTTCTACGTAGAACTTTTAAGCTGTTATTGTGGTAGAATATTCCCTTCTAAATCCAAATTGGGAAGTTGATACTTTAATTGACCTAGTCATTTTCCTATTTTCCACTTAAACATTCTTTAAATGTTTTACTGATACCAATCCTAAGGAGATATTACTCTTTTTTTGTATGGCTTTAGAAATGGCAAAACTATAAACTCCCTCCACGAGATAGATAACATCCGGTGTTCCATGTTTGATTGTAATTTGCCAATTAATAGCTTATTCTTTGCCTCTTCTCCTAATTTACTAAGTTTTCTTATTTGTTTTTCGAATTTTCATTTTGAAACCAACTTCCGATAATAAAGTGAAAATACAGTTTATAAACTGTTCAGTTGTATTTTCTTGGTGCTTATTCCGAATAAGATATTTCTTAAATACTGAGATTCCATAATAAGAACATACTTTTAGAACAATACTGTAGATTGATCTTATGTAACAAGTAGCAAAGGAAACAAATATTAGTTATATGATAGGATTATGTTCGAAACATGAGCAGAAAGTATTACTAAAGTTCTATAGATTTGACAGTTAGTGTCAAGAGAAGCATCTACTTTCTTGAATAAAACTTAGCAACTCAATAAGAACTTCTCTCCAACTATAATTGCGATGGAGAAATGCAATTACGATTTCGCCATTAGGAATTCACGTCAATAAATGAAATTGGAAACGTTCATTTCCCTCGGGACGATCTAAAAAAATGAGACGCCGCCAAGAGGGAGTTTTGGCGCATTATGGAAAAGAAATTACCGAGAAAGACTTTTATAATCCGGTTATTCTTTTATTGTTTGTAATCAGGCCCGTAACTCGAACAAAGGATCTGCCGTTCTGCGGTTATACTTTCTGGATCTAAATGAAAAAGAAATGAAATAAAGTTGGTTCTAAAAGTTTATGAGAAAATAATTAAAATTAAATTAAACTTTTGTTTTAATAATGACCTATATTTAGGGGGTTTCAATCGTACTATTAGCAAAGGCAAATACAGGTTGAAGATAGGACAAAGAAGTACTCTTTTTAGTTAACCAAGCTTTCGAAAATCTCCGTTTGCATCAGCAGTATTTTACAATAAGTAAAATTAGTGCAAATTTCAGAATAAAGCATTATTTTATATCTTATTCTATACTTGGCGATCTTTTCGTTGTATTTAACACGCAAATTCACTAGTTTACAACTAATTTGCGACTCGAATGTAAAATGGTGTTTTTTGTTAATTTTGGCTCTCTGAACATGAATATGCTGATAAAAACTTTCTAGTACGTAAGATTTTTGAGTTATAATTTTTTCAAAAAACAAATTATTTTTTTTAAGTATTTTAATAAAAAAAATTAGAGTTATTTGTAATATATCGGAGCGAAATGTTATCAAATTAACGTTTTTTTCTGAAAATTGTGCATAATTTGTGCAAGATTTGGAAATGTATGACGATAAAAGTGAACCCGATGATGTATCAAAAACCGACGATTCTTATTTTTCCGAAAGCGATGATAATGGACCCCATTTCATCCAAACAAACTGAATTAAATGATTTAGTTCGAGACCTTCACCTTTCCAAAGAACATGCTGAACTTTTAGGTTCTCGATTACAACAATGGAATTATTAGCCAGTTGATCCAAAGTTACCATAGTTAGGAACAGTAACCAGGAGCTATCCTCGTTTTTTACTATGCATGATAAAATGTGTGTTTGTGTTAATCCAAATATTGTTATGGGAAAATTAGGGTTTACACATAACCCAGAAGAATGACGTTTGTTTATAGATTCTTCTAAATCAAGTCTAAAAGCAGTTCTGCTTCATACCGGTAACAAAAAACCATCTATTCCTCTTGCGCGTGCAGTTGATATGAAAGAAACACACACATACATATACTCGTAGGTGGCAAATATGTGGTGACTTAAAAGTCATCGGATTATTACTAGGTCTTTAGGGAGGATTTACAAAATTTTGCTGTTTTCTTTGTCTTTGGAACAGTAGAGTAACACAGAGTCATTACCACGTTAAATAATGGTCACCAAGAGATCAATACATCCTCGATCATACAATACTCTCCATGATCCCAAAAACGTTCTGTTACCTCCGTTACATATTAAACTGGGATTGATTAAAAATGTCGTTAAAGCATTAGATAAAGAAGGAGATGCGTTTAAATATTTTAAACAAATTTTTCCTAAGCTAAGTGACGCAAAGCTTAAAGAATATTTATATTTATTGGATATTTATTGAACCACAAATCAGAAAAATACTGAGGGATCAACAATTTGATGAAAAATTCAGTGATGTTGAGTTAGCTCCGTGGAATTTCTTTCAAAAGAATTGTCTATGCATGTAGAAAAAGTACTGCAATTTTCCCGAAAAATTTGGGTGAGGTCAGCGACGAGCAAGGAGAAAGGTTCCACCAGGATATTCTCACAATAGAGCAATGCTACCAGGGAAGATGGGATGCAGCAATGATAGGTAGTAGGATGTAGAGTATAAAAGGAAATTAGCGTTTGCAAAGAATTTGTGTACAAAAACTTACCATAGTTTTTGTTTGTAGTTCTGGACTTATTTATATATAGTGTAGCAGGTCGCCCCTGTATTACCTCTACGTGCACTCAAGGCGCTGAGTTCCCGAGTTCCAGCGAGACGGGTCGACCACAGTCGAACTTCCCCACTGCCGAGCCTCCCGGAGATCGGTGCTATAAAAGCGGGATTTGTCACCTCGGGGTAATTAATAAGGGTCTAAGCACCTTCTGTACCACCGTGTGCTCTGTAGAGGGCTTCGGAAACGTCGACGAAAGCCCCTCTACTTGAATCCATTTGCGGGGTATTGATTCGTAAAAGGTTTTCTCCTGATGAGCTCGTCTTGAAAAAGACGAGCTATTTCTTACATGACATACGATGAAGTCGTTGAAATCAGGTTCTCAGCTTCGGTGACTTGCCTTGACAAAGACAAGATATTTCTTACATGACTAAATAGTAGTCGAAACAAAACACCAAATATTGTTGAATAATAATACTCAGCCACAGAGTATAGGGTCGGCTAAAAGAAAAAGCAGAGCCCCGAGAGCACTAAGCTCTCGGAGAGCCCGTGAAGGACTGACCTGAAAATCGCCTATTTTTATACTTTCTGAAGTAGCGATTAGGGATTTCCAGGTCAGGAAGGGGCCAACGGGAAAAATAAGGGGCGGGGCGATGCGTCTCGAACGTGAACTAGTCGCGTCCGAAAACATCCCCCCTCCTCTGGAGACTCTGTGGCCGGGAAAAAATTTATTGAATACCAAAATTGTACAAGTATACACTGATAAGAAAAATACATAAAAATGTATGAAATATATGAAAGAAAATACATGAAAATGTAAATAAAGTAAAAAATTGTCTTTGAAAAACTCACAACACAGCACTAATGGGGAGTGTCGGTGGTGTTGACGTCATCTCCGGCTCATACAGGTCCATCCCCGATCGGTGTGCCAACTCCTTCGACGGGTTTGTCTTCTTCTTGGTCGTCCGGATCCCATCCGCCATATCCAGGGGTTTCGTAGAGTTCCAGGGTGCCGAAGCCTACGTGGTCGTCCAACCACTTTCGGTAGGGGGGCGATTTCTGGGTCTACTTCTGGACTTCCATTGACATCAGGGGCTTCTGACTCCGAAGAAGTTTGGCTCGTCAAAGGTGCCTGCACGTCGAAGGCATCCGGTCTGCAGAAGGCCTCGATGTCGGAGTGTTAGAGTATAGATTTCTAACACTCCGTGGTTCTCCCCATTCTTCTCTTGACTTCAACCCATGTTGAAGTCAATGGTTGTAGCCTTCTGCTGCGAGTCGAGCTGAAGTTGTCGAAATCAGGTTCTCAGCTTCGGTGACTTGCCTTGACAAAGGCAAGATATTTCTTACATGACTAAATAGTAGTCGAAATAAAACACCAAATATTGTTGAATAATAATACTCAGCCACAGAGTATAGGGTAGGCTAAAAGAAAAAGCAGAGCCCCGAGAGCACTAAGCTCTCAGAGAGCCCGTGAAGGACTGACCTGATTGACCTGAAAATGGCCTATTTTTATACTTTCTGAAGTAGCGATTAGGGATTTCCAGGACAGGGAAGGGCCAATGGGAAAAATAAGGGGCGGGGCGATGCGTCTCGAACGTGAACTAGTCGCGTCCGAGAACAGATTCAGCGGAGAATTCCTCATTCCTCATTCAGCGATTGAAATCTCAACCACGCGCGAGAGAATACGCTATATGCTATAGACTTTTGAGTTTCTCTTATGCTGTGATGTGTGAATCTTAGTTAGGTATATAATAAATAAAATATTTAGCGTTCCTTCCTCGGCTCGTTAATTTATTAATTTATTACACCATCCTACAATAGTATATAAGAATTTTTATAATAAATAACATTATTTGATGCATTCTATAACTCAAAATATATACGTGGTGAGAAATTTTGGTGTTGCTGAATTAGCAATCAGGATGCTTTAAACCCCCCGGTACAGCCATTTTAACATCAGTCGCAACTTTTTTTTTTAATTTTTTGACTAGTGAATTATTGGTGTTAGGTATCATTACATCAATAAGTGTTGTTTATTAACTAGTATGATATCCGGTCTATTATGTGCCATTGGTTGATCTGTAAGCACAGTGCGGTCCCAGTATAGCTTGTAGCTGTCACTTTCAAGCATTTTGTCAGGGATGTATTGATAGTAAGGAAGATGGTCGGTTTGAAGAAGTCCCAGTTTGTCAGCTAGTTTTTGATGGATAATCTTTTCTACTTAGTCATGGTGTTCTTTATAATCAGTTCCGAAAAACGTCTGGCAGCTCCCAGTAAGATGTTGTGTGGTCTCTTGGACTTGGCGCGACAGAAACTCAGCGCGAAACAGTACAATACTGTATAATTATTTCTGAGACGGTACTCAAAACAATATTCAGAGTTTCTTGTAAGAAAGTAATCTATGAATATTTACAAACTATATATGTTTCAAGAATAATAGTAATGTGTTACCTCCGAAGACATTGTTAAAGGCGGCGCTGCATGTCTTTGACGGTAGACGTTGTGCCAACATAGGCAATCCGTGATAAAATCGCTATCTTGCCAAGCAGTTTGTATCTCGGACATATCTAGCACCATACTAACTGGACGGTTTGTTAAAATCTGCAAACAATAAAATATTTATTAAATATATATTATTATTTATTATAAAACTTATATTTAATACATTTGCCTGTATTAAATCAAAGCATGTATTCAATTAGTAATTATTTTTTGTAGTATCAAACGATCCAACTACTTTCAAATAATAATGGTATACACATATACACAAGGATATTGAATTCGTAATTTCGAAATGTGTTCTCCAAAAGTGACTTATTTGTTATAAAAGTACAACAGACCAAAGTATCATTTTGTTTACGTCCTAGCCTTAAATAGTGAACTATGAGAAATAGTGAATTATGAAAGGGTTCTACACGTTTACAACACTTACAAGTTTATTAAAGTCTTTATTAACTTTTTTCTAGAAATTACTGGAATGAAAAAAGGATGTAATAATATGTTTGCAGTTTTATGAGTCATTATCTATCGTAACATTAGGAGAAAGCCAGAAAAAAATGAGTGGAGTGACTGCAGATGGCAATTGATTGGATCGCTGTCGCATGGTGACGAGCACAATCACTACTATATAATATAAAATTTTATATTTATTACAATATATTAATAGAATAAATTAAATATAGTCGATAAAATGCATCAGCTATGAACTGGTACTTAATTGAAATAATAAAGTTCAAATTTCATTCGCTAATATAAACTTTCATAAAAACATCATGAATTCAAATATATTTTACTGCTGCGGTAAACACGCTAAATAGATAATTTTGTTATATGAAGTAATCAAATAAACGTACAATAATTTTAATTTTAATTTTTAATCGTTTTGAGCACGCATATTTTAATAATTACTACGATCCACAGCACAGACTATTATTTTTTCGTATCAATATTTGAATCAACTTACCACGGGGTTTTTGTCAAAAGATGACCATGAAATTTTTAACATATTTTAACTATTTCATTGTTTATCTAAAAATTAAAGGAATAACACATAATAATAATAATACATTTATTTCAATCACTATTTTTACAACAATTATCAAGTTTACTTCATCATCATCATCACGTAGCGCTACAACCCTGGGTGGGTCTTGGCTGACTGTACAACTTTTTTCCAATTTGTCCGCTCTTCCATCAACCTCGGGTCAAATGGAATGATCATTTTCCGGAGATCTGCTTGGATGTTATCTCTCCATCGCATTCTGGGACATCCGAGTGGTCTTTTTTCTCTTCATTAATCTTCAGCCCTACTTCACTTGTTGCTCCTTCTACCTTGTTAAAGGTGTCTTTCGTGGATAGGATGGAGTCTCCAACGAGATCTATGCCATCTGCATATGCGAGTAACAGCTTGGGACCTTCAACCGATAGCAATTCTGTTTGCAAATCTCACACCATTAAAAGACGTCACAAATGAAGTTTTACTATCTTTAACTAAATTTTAAAATGTATTCTATCCATTATTTTATGTTATATTTTATATGTGTGTTATTAATGTTGAGTGTCATAGCTTTATATAAATAATATCAACGACTATGTCTTGAAAAAGGAATTAAACAATTCCGCAAGCTAGACCAAAAGTCAAAAGAGTGTTTCTGTAACATCCCGGACAAACTTCTGACTTCAGCCCTAATAAACTTTGTTGTTTGTATATATATATATATATATATATATATATATATATATATATATATATATATATATATTGTCATACTTCTTCTTTCCCAGCCAAAAAAAAAATTAAATAAAAAGATCAATCGGAATAAAATTTTAAGATATCATTATAAACAAAATGTATATAGTAATCCTTTTTTGTGTAGAATTAGAAGAATTTTACCTGTAAGTTAATCTTGTCATTGTTTGTGTATTAAATGACCATATTCTAATCTTTGGAAACAGGTATAGATTGTGTATTAACAGACTGAGGACAAAAAAAAATCAATTTTATTTATTCTTTCTCTGAAACAGTAATTTGGTTTTACCAAATGATACACAAAATTTTAGAATAAATATTAACAGAAGTAAACAAGATTTGAGCTTTTTGATTTTCTAGTATTTTTTGAATGGTAATGGGGTTAGCCTGATTAGGAGACCGGGAGCGAGGCAGTTGTAATTTGGCCATCGAAGGAAACAGTCGTTTGTTTAAAGATAGGGTGTGGTTCGTGAGTTTGGATACCGGCATTGTGAAAAGAAGTGAATAGTTTTGCAGAAGGAGATAACAAGTAGATTAGAAGAGGTCCGTGTATCTACCGTGGGCATTTTGTGAAGTATATGTGAAAGTAGTTTTACGGCATCAAGTTGACAAAAGGACGTCCTTGTGTCATAAATAAGTAGCTCAGTTTTTGGAGAAGTGAATCAGGTGTTTTTGGATAGTCTGCAGGATGTTTGCAGAGACGTTAGGAAGGAGCCGAGGTGCCAAAGACGAGAGATCACATCGTTGAGGAGACTGGACTTTTCTGGGTATGTTCCAACATACAATTCAATAAGGAAAAAAGCTGTAAGTGTTTTGTACAATTGAAAATTGGAATCTGTGAAGGATATGTATTGACATCATGATCATTATCATTCAAATTTAAAGAACTGAATTTTGTTAGACTAATCAAAAGTTTAAAATTTTGTTGTTTTTTTTTGTTTTAAGTAAAGGAAAGTTAAGTAAAATTGGTTTTCACTTAATATAAATGTATGTAGATTTAAAATCTTATTATTATAAAAATTTCATTTAATCTCTTGTATGCTGATTGATAAGATAACGGCAGAATTTGATAATTGTTTTATTCTCTTTCATATAAAATAAAGAATACTTAATTTTTTATAATATACTATTCTCGTTTATTATCCTTCTTCTCTATCCCGATAAAGGACGACTAGAAAATCTTTGAATCCATCGAACACAGGTAATATAAGAAGTTTTATTTTACATTTGATAACAATTAAGTTATATTTTTTGATTGGCTCAACAAAGTAAAATCAAAGTCAAGATAAACAATCATAACAATATATATATATATATATATATATATATATATATATATATATATATATATATATATATATATAAATTTACGTAAACCTTTTGGATATGTTTGTATATTCAAGTAATAAATTAAATTTCCTTCAATCTTACAGGAAAATCGATTAAAAATATTGTTAATAACCAAGAAAGTTAACTTAACGGTATAAATTTATTATTATTCTTTTGTCCTTTTACTGAGGCCGCCTACATTAACGAAGGCAAGTTATATTCAAGATTAATTATTATAGCGTCGTTGCTTTGCATTAACTTCATTAACAGCCTCTTAAGGTTGCCCCGACACGAACTTCCTGAAACTTATCGCTGAACGAGGCAAAAAACCGGGACAGTATAAAAGATATAACGTTATCTAGAATAATTCAAGGATGTGTACGCTAAATCGTACAAATTAAAAGTTTGAAGTGTAGTTGTTGCATGCGATACCTGTTCTAGAAAGATAGCTGTATTGATTGTATAAAGAAAGTTTACTTAGTATAAAACTTGACAGAGTATTTCAGTAGGTTTCAGATAGAATTTGATTGAAACAAGGGGTCAATAAGTATCTATAGAATTCTGTAATATATCTGTAGAATTCTTAGTATATAAATATATATTGATATACAAGGTGACAATTTGGCAATGCTCCTACAATATTCGAACACTGACAGACGACAATAGATTCTAAAGAAATAGAAAGTGAACTAAAGGATATAAAATGGGATATCCTTAGTATATGCGAGACTAGAAGAAAAAGTGATGAGTATATAATACTACAAAATGGCACACATTTTATGCATAAAGGTGGCGAATACACGGGAGTAGGATTCTTGGTAAAACAAAGTTTCACACAGTGTATCGAAGAATTCAAGCCCATATCAGACAGAGTAGCATCTCATCATCAGGATTAATAAAAGAACCACTCAGAAAGTGATCCAAGTGTACGCTCCGACCAAAAGCCACGACGATGAAGAAGTAGAAATATTTTATGATGAAATAAGAACAGAAACAAATAAAGCAAATTACGAAATACTATTAGGAGATTTTAATGCTAAATTGGGCAAAAAAGAGGAAGATTATGAACATTTAATTGGTAACTATGGCTACGGGAAAAGAAACGATAGAAGAGAAATGCTTCTCAATTTCATGAATGAACATAACATGTACTCAATGAACTCCTTTTTCAATACAAAACCAAGCAGAAGACGTATCAGTATTAAGTCAGTTTGACCTAGGAAGCGATTATAGACTAATAAGAATAAAACTAATAATTAACAAAAAACTAAAAAGAAAAAGAATACATGAAAAAAAATACAAATGGACATCTGAAGAAATCAAAAATAGTGAATTTAATAAAAAGATAGCGCATGCATTAAATCAACTTAGCACGCAGCAGATAAACTCCAATGATATTAATGATTTGAATAACCTTATTACCGAAACAGTGAATAAAAGCCTTCTACAACTGAAAAAACCAAAAACAACATACAATGAATTAGACAAAGAAATATTACAACAAATAAAAAGAAGGAAGATCTTAAATAAATCTAACAAAAGAAGAACCGACGAATATAGAGAACTTAATAGGCAGATTAGAAAAGTAATCAGACAACAAAAAAGAAAAGAAAACGAAAAATTAATAACAACAACTATTGAAAAAAATAAGAGTATGAAATGCCTCAGACCGACACTAGGACGACGTCAGATGATATCATTAATGGGAAAAGACGAAAATGAAATCACAACTAGAGAAAACATACTGACACGAATAGAAGAATTTTACACATAACTCTACAGAACACATCAACAAGATGATGAGATGAGACCAGCACGGAAATTAATAAAAAATGTTGGATCAGAAATAATGCCAAAAGTAACAATTTCAGAGGTAACTACAGCATTGGAAAACATGAAGAGAAATAAAGCTGTAGGAGAAGATAGTATTACCACAGATATGATATTATATATTTTTTTCTTTGTTTTCATGCTGATCTTCTTATCCCATAGTACCGAATTCAATTTTCGTCTGCGGTCTCTT